AGCAGCTACTCCTGCCTCAAACCAATCCTCTAATGCATCTAATCCCCAAATATATAACACCTCTAGCAATGGAAAGGCATCGTATTTATCATTCCCATTAAATTTACTTTCGAGCCATTTTACTTTCGGCAAGCCAAAAAATCTTAGAGACTTGAGGAAGGGAAGTCGCCCAAAAGGTGGAAGAGTTTCACACTCCAAGCAATCTGTCAATTCGATTTTCTCTAGATTGAAGATCAGATTAACATTGTTCATCCATATAGCAGACCTTGCACCCATGTATCTCTTTATGCTCAAATTCCTTAGACATTTTGGTGGCTGAAGGTTGTCCAGCACGTTCTCATCTAAATCGATGTTCCTCGAATCAATGTTACTCCAACATAAGGTTAGATCTGTGAGCCTCCTCTTGGCACATAATTTGGCACTACAAGCCTCCTCGGCATCCTTAACATTTTCAAGGCAATTGATTCCTAATTTCCAAAGATCATTCATATTCTCCAGCTCCCCAATTCTATAACCACTCACATCTCTAAGATCAAACATATTCACTTCTTGAAGAGACTTTAGCTTCCCAATCCCACATATCGATGAAATATAATTCTTGGACAATTTCACGTAACGCAAGTTAGAAAGGTTATTAATGTAACTTGGTAAAAAATCATCACCTTCAAGTTGGATTGACAACCTTTCATCATAGACTATGTACTGCAAGTGATAGAGATTACTTAGAGATCTTGGCAGCATGGTCAAATTACAATTACCATCAATCTTTAAGTATCGAAGATGTATCAAATTTCCAATCTCCTCTGGTATCATTTTCAAGCTTGCTGAAGCATGTATGTATAATAAGCGTAGGCTTCTCCATGTTTTGAATATTTTGATAAGTGCGCTGAAATCCTGATTAGAAGCTTCATTGAACAAGAAAAGTGAATGCAAATATTTAAACTGCCCAATCTTTTTTATGATGTCTGGATTTGTAGTTTGAACAGACAAGTGTCGAAGAGTCTTAGGAATTATAGAAGAAAAGTTTGTACTATCCTCAACTCTTAAACATTCCTTTATGGAAATTGATTGTGCCAATTCATGTATTAAATCATGCATTTTGTAGTAATGTCCAAACTGATCAAAGAAAGATTTTTTAACCAAAACATCAAAATACATTCCTCCAATATCCTCCATAGTCCATTCTTGATCATGATGTTGTTGAATGAAACCCAACGCAATCCACATTCGAACTAAATCATCTTTATCAAACATGTAATCTTGTCGAAATATAGAACAAAATGCGAAACAATTTTGTAGATGTTTTGGTAGGAACATATAGCTCAATCTTAAAATGACAAAGATGCCATCCTGACCCAAATTTGGACTTAAAAAATCACCATTTAAAACTTTTGTCCAATGTCTTTCATCCAAGCTAGAATTCAAAACACCACCGATGACCTTTGCAGCCAATGGAGATCCTGAAAGCTTTTTAACAATCTCTCCAGCAATGAATCTTAATCTTTTATAATCATTAGGATTCTCCACATCAGCAAATGCATGAGAGTTGAGGAGCTGCAAACACTGATCTTCCTCCAAGCCCGATAATTTAAATGTTTCCTTATTCTTTTTAATTACCTTTGCAATCATCATTGCAACCGAGTCCATTCGAGTTGTTACCAAAATTCTACTACCCATTTTCCCATAAGCCAGAGGGGCGAGCAACTTCTCCCATTTATTTTTATCCTGCTTCTCATCATTCTCCCAAATGTCATCCAGCACAAGTAAGAACTTTTTGGACACAATCTCAGTACGAAGACTATCTTGAAGTGCCTCAAGTGTCTCCAAACGAGGCCTCTCCTTCTTAAGAGATTCCAACATATCTGCAATGGCTTTTTTCACATCAAAGCTGTTGGAAACACAAACCCACATTTTAAAATCAAATTCCTTTGTCATTTCATCTTCATAGACATGTTGTAAGAGAGTTGTCTTTCACATACCACCATGGCCCACTGTAGATAGAAGAGAAATGTTTCTGTACAAATCAGTTCCCCGATGCACATTTGATGGCTTCCTCAACCACTGCATAACGAACTCCTTAGCCTCGCCTCTACCGATGAGATCATTTGTAGGCAAGGATCCTGTTTCACGTGCTTCGGACAACTCACGCTGCTGCTCCTTCTGCTCCTGTTTTGCGCTATCTAGAAGATGAAGAAAAGTACTAACCCCAGCTGAAACTTTATCTAGTTTCTGCACAACTTCCTCCAGCTTCTTCAAGTTGGGATCAATCTTCAGAG